TCCGCTTCATGGGCCTGGCCCTCCGTCCCTCCCCCAGTTCCGCCTCCACTCCACCACCCTCCTGGACTTTTATGGATTTTGTTTTGGGCGTCTGGAGCCGCCCTTAGAGGGGGGGATATGTAATATGGTGTTTGGGTTTTGTTTCATATTCATGTTTTCATGTCTTTTATTTTGTAATTGTTTCATGCTGTCAGTGTCATGCTTCCCTTGCCCTCATGTACAGAGTAGAATAAGGATTCGTTACAGTAATACATGCAAACGTAAAAGAAAACCAAACTGGATGCAAGAAAAGCTGTTACTTCTTGCCCAACTGGTTAATGAAAACAAGGATATAATCAAAGAAAAATTTGGATTTGGGATAACCTCCAAAACCAAAGGAGTTCGTCAAATGTTTCTAAAATGTTTACGTTCAGAGGCAGACTGCCGCCAACAGCCCTTTTAGGATAGTTTGTGGCTTGGTCTTAGTGACTTAGGAGTCCTCTTCACTACTCCTAACGTTTCACAGATTTAGGAGCTAGTTTTAGAGCTAAAACACTTTGTGAAATACTCTTAGAGCTAAAATTTAGGAGTAGTAAATTTAGGACTGACACGCCCATTATTTTTAAGATTTTCTCCTAAATCGGCGAGTTATGAGCTACTTTTAGCCTTAAGATGTTTTGTGAATATGGGCCCAGATCTTCTAATATTGTCATTTGTGTTCTGTGGGAGAATCATCTGGGACGGCATCAGGTTACCTGTGTTTTTCAGTCATATCTGCAGTAAGAATCTTGATCATCTTTCTCCTGGTGCTGTCAGTCAAGCTTTTGGTTTTGTTGTATTCCCTGATGATTGCGTCTCCACCAGGTTTAGTCTGCAGGATTTTTTGGACCAGCTGCAAAGAGTTACATAATACAATCATTGACAAACCATATCCCTCGCAGGAACCATTCTGTTAACATGACTCTGCGGTTACACAGTGCCCCTGTTTACATATTAACATGAGTACTGTGATCTGATCACAAGTGGACAGATCTGAATGTAGGGCTGCACGATATATCGTTTCAGCATCGATATCACGATGTGTGCATCTGCAATAGTCACATCGCAGGATGTGCGATGTTTAGTATAGCTACTGATCGTTATATTTTTACTGATTGTTTTCTTTGCTCAAACACAGACACGGTGTCTACACCGGTCTACACCGGACAGCTGAACAGAGATACCAATTTTAAATACATTTAGTAACAGAGCTACTGCAAGGGATTTTCAGTGCTGGAAATCCATTTATCCTTTGTTGAAACTTCCGCGTCGTCGAGGAGAGCGCAGGTCACGGTCGCTTAGCAACGGCAGATGCCAAGAAAGCGCAAGCTCCCAAGCATTTTGGAAAGAAGGAGAAAGCGGCGCGACTGCCGTTTTCCACGCGTTTTTAGGCGCGACATGTGAACGGCCCCAAAGTTTGTCTACACTGGACGCGACAAAGCGACCGTTGCATATCATTTGAACTTTGTGTCAGTACGTCATAAAGAGAACGCGGCATCAGTTTACTGTCGGGGATTTGTCGTGTCACGCCGCATCCAGTGTAGACAGCATCACTGATTATATGGGTTCTATTGTATTTTGTCGCGTCGCGCCGCTCGCGTCCAGTGTAGACGCGGTGAGGGCCACACAGATGCACGTGAACACTGATTTCTGTTAACTTCTGCGTCTATTTGTGCCTGAAATACTGTGCTCTACAAGTATCCTTGTAAACACAGATGCTTATGGCTTAGGTGAAGGTAAACAACTGAGAAAGAAAATGGATGTGGTACAGTATATTGGTTCACAATCACAGCAGTTTAATGTTCCTGTTGCTTTCTGTGTCATGAATGTTTATCAAACAACAAAACACAAAGAAAAATCACTTTTGTAGCTTTAACACATATTTGTTAGATTTCGCCTAGGGCGTCAAATTGGCTAGAAACGGCCCTGACCCCAATCATCGATTTTTTTCCCCCAAATAGAGCTATATTGAAGTCATCTGATTTTTTTTTTCATATCGCAATATATACAGTATAACGCAGAAAAAAAAAATATCGCAATGTGAGTTTTTTACAATATCGTGCAGCCCTATCTGAATGCACCCAAGATGCACTGGGGATGCATTGTGATATGATCATTTTGAACACATTCACCTCATATAGCCATATCTCTTTATTAACTTTTAGCAGTTTATTATCATGCAAGAAAGGAAAAGTTCACCAAAAATGAAATTCTTTTAATTACTCACCCTCATGTTGTTCCAAACCTGCAAGAATTTTGTTCATCTTTAGAACAAACATGAAGATATTTGTAATGAAATCTGAGAGGTTTCTTTCCCTCCATTGACAGCTTACACAACCGCAATGTTCAAGGCCTAGAAAACTATTAAAAACATCCTTGAAATAATCCATATGACACCAGTGGTTCAACCTTAATTTTATGAGGTGACAGGAATGTATTTTGTGTGCAAAAACAAACAAACAAAAACAAAACAAATTACTTTATTCAATTTATTCACTCCTGAATCAATCCGTAAACAGTGTGCTTCCAGGATGGGGTTCTTCTGTGCTTCAGGTTCTGTCCTGCTTTAGGTGCTTTTAAATAGATGTTAGTTTACCACTTCAACATGTGGACTTTTTACAGATTGATGAAGAAATTGTTGAAAGTCATTATTTTTATATATATATAAAAAAAAAAAAAAAAAAAAAAAAAAATCCCATTCCCATTCCCTCATAAAATTAAGGTTGAACCACTGGAGACACATGGATTATTTCAAGGATGTTTTTTACTATCTTTCTAGGCCTTGCACATTGCAGCTGCATCAGTTGTCAATAGAGGGACAGATTTCCTTACTAATATATTCATTTGTGTTCCAAAAATGAATGAAAGTCTTATGTGTTTGGAACAACATGAGGGTGAGTAATTAATGACAGAATTTTCATTTTTGGGTGAACTAACCTTTTAACACCCTGGCAGTGATGTGTGCTTTAAAGAAGCAAAACACTCACCTTGGAATCAAAAGCGGTCACAAAAGACATATGTAATTGACAAGATTTAAACAGCAATGTGTCTTGGCTGACAAGTTGTGACTATCATCCAAGTCATGTCAATGCCAGGTGTGAAAAGGGCCAGAGATTGTGTAGTCACACAGTTAAATTTCTTGTTTTTCATAGTCATGTTTAAAATTTGCACTGCAGAATAATATACAATACAAAAATCACAGACTCACAATTCTGGCTTCATCTTCAACCCTGTTGCTTTCTTGGCTTCCATCACTTAGAAGACTGGTGTCATCAGATTCATAGTTTGCATTCTGCAATGAGCTTTCTTCACTTGTCACAGGAGGGACCTGGGCCAAATCTATTGAAAAATGGTTTTAATCAAATGACTGTTAAAATAAAACTCTTTAAAGCTCTTTCTGATTCTGAAAACAACCACAAAACCTTGTGCAAGATTTAGGTGATAGCCCTGCTGTCTTGCCTCCGGTATGACGAAATTATATACACAATATTAAGTGCGAAGGACATGCAGAGCACAAAGGGCATTATACAATTCACACATTAGCATTGGGCGACTGAAAAGTGTTTTTATATACGCTCTATTTTAAGTTTTCATTTAATTTATTTAGTGAGATAAGGCAACCCGCCTGCATGGTTATGGAAACATTTTTATTCCGTTTTACAAGTCCTCACCTCAATACATCGGCTGCATTTTTTGTATGGTGGAAATAGGGGCCGTTTCTCAATATGCGTTCTTGTCTGTACTTGCATTCTTGCGGACTTGTGAAACGTCATCAGTTGTTGCCCAAGTACTGTTCTAATTCAAAGTTCACATCTTGCCAAGTACAGTTCAAATCCCCGGATGTGTTCTCGCTCCTCCCCTTTTATCAAGGATGCATCAAACGGTGCGTTCCAAACGGGATATATCGCCCTCCGAAGGGCACTTCGGAGTGAAAACAGTCATGGCCGCCATATTGAAGGGTCGTTCCAAACCGAAGTGCTCAAAACTGGCCACTTCAAAGGGCCCTTCGGAATGAAGGATTTCGAAGGGTACATCTGATGGACACTTTGGGCTCCCATGATCCTTTGCGCAGATTCTTTGCATGATGATGGCGCCTCCGTGTGGGCACGTGATGATGACGCAGAAGGGCACTTCAAGAAATAAGCTGTGTCCCAAACTGAAGTGCGTGGACTCCGAAGTGCGCATTTGAAGTGCGATTGCATCACGACGTAAGCCGTCCCAATTCAGAATGCACCCTCCGAAGACCGCATTCCAAGGCCGATTGCGTCACCGAGGTGCGACGAAGGCTGACGTATTTCCAAAGCGACTTCAAATGCACCCTCCATTTCCCAGGAAAATGAAGTGTACATCTGATGGACACTTCGCACCCTACCATATCCCAGAATCACTTGTGCGCAGATGACGATGGAATTTATATTCAAAGAACATGGAGGATGACAGTTCTGTGGGGGAATTCACATTGAAATGTAAGTGTTGTGTTTTTATTTACTCAAATAGGCTACCTAGTGAAACAAGTGTTAAAAGCCACAACAAAAACAAGTGTTGTTTTTTTTTTTTTTTAAACGAAGCCCACAAACAATAAGACAACCACTATATAATGCAATAGTCTTTCTTTTTGTTGTGTTTTTGTAGTGCTGTCATGTCTACAAATGTTTTAAACAAACTTTAGCACTTCTGGATTTTGTATGCATGTTCTGCTGTGTCATATTTTCTAATGTTAAGATTGCAAACATGTCTTTATATTTTTCATAAGTGTATCCATTTTCTCTTGTTTTAGCTTTCATTTCTTGGTGAACTATCCTTTAAGTAAAAGTATTATCTTGCCTACTCTAATATACTTAAGGTATTGAGAGTAAAAGTAAAGGTATACAGTATTGTTCTGAAAAATAATTCGTTAGGATGGTTTTGCATTAATATTACTTCTGCACTACTGTGTATGTTGCATTTTACTTCTGAATATGTTCAAGGTTATTAAATTTAAAGTTGCCTACTAAATATACTGTTGGGTAGTTTAATCTACAACAATGCATCATGTTGTAAAAGACCATATTTTTGTAGTGTTGCTGTCCTGTGAGGAAAAAAAAGAAGAAAACGGTACTTCATATTTGTACGAGTATACTTAACGAATGTACTTCCTTACAGTCCACCTCTGATTATTAAAGGCTGCATCTGAAGGACTCGGACCGGTCAAGCAGAGCACTGTTCAGCTTCGACAGCTGCCGCTGAACATTGAGCTGTACTATTATCTTTTTTTTTGTTATTATTCACAGTTTTATATTTATGCTTAACTGCCTAAAAAATCCTGGTTGCAAACCTACATATGATCACCATGGTCAAGACAATAAACTATATAAAATCGCACCTTTGTAAAATATCAGTCAGCATTTGAACTGTTATGTGTGTGTGTGTGTGTGTATTTTGTAGTTTTTCATATGTATCAATAAAACATAAAAACAAAAATGAGCAATTCTGGCTCCACCTGTTCTGGCAAGATTGTCCTCTCGTCAGCTCTCCTCTCACACCGTTGCTATGCGACATGCTTTTGCTGCCTCGGCCGCCTTTTTCAAACAGGTGCAGCGCGTCCTCGCGGTGCTGTAGATTAGAAAATGCATGATCTGGAGCGGAGCAGAACACGGGACCCGAGCGTTTTTAATCCATTCCTAAGGAAGTTGAGCGTGCGCAATTTAGGAATGAACTGAAAAAAGTTCGCGCACACACACATAAACACGCACGTTAAACATATAGAAGAGGACAAATCTATAAGGCAGCCTGAAGCGAAAAAAAAGAGAAGGAAAAGAGGAAACAGGACAACCGTAAGCATACGCACCAATTTATGTTTC